ACGGATATAGAAGAAAGAGTGATGAAAAGATCCACAACGTTTCAGGCTTGCACTTGCACTTTAATGTACAATAACGTCATCAGCAGCACTTGTTCCACTCATCTTTTCATTGTCCAGTCTTTTCACTCTAACAGTTCAACTAATGGGAGTGAATTTTCTAGAAAAATATTCATGTTATTGCATCACAATCACTCATTGATGATGAGATAAGATAGACAAAGAAATATATAATTTTTAAATAAATAATTGTGATCAAATAACATGACTACTTTTTTACATAAGATGATCCATTCCTCACTTAATACAGCTATCCAGCTATGTGTAAAATAATTAGAAAACTAAACTGAAATAGAATTGTACTGCACTATATTTAAAATTTTTAAAAAATCAATTCATCAGCTGAACTAAATTTTAAATAATTAATTTATGAATTTAACTGATTTAAAAAAATCTGTTCATAAATCGAATTATTCTTTTTTTTTTCTTTTTTCTTTATATTTTTTTTATTACTTTATTTTCTTTATACTAGATTCAATCTGAATTTATTCTGAGCCAAACAAATTTATTTTTTACTTAACAGAACTGTTTTTAGATCGAACCAAACCAATTTAGGTAGAAAAAAAGTTTGATTCTTTGATTTTTATAAATTTAAATCAATTCAGTTCAGTTCTTTAAAAAAATTCAATTTAATTTGAATGATATACATTCCTATAGCTACCTATACACCTTTATCTTTTATTTTTTGTCTGTCTAACGTATCAATAACTTACATAACTTATTTTCTAGTATTAATTTAATTTTAAGTTTATATTAATTTTTATGCTAATTCACATGAAAATTGAATTATTTGTGTATTATTTCTAGCCTTCCAGGTATGTTTCTCTTAAAGGATCCACTGTGCTAATGTAATAATAACCTAATGAGGTAGAAGTATGTACCCAAGCTCAATAGAAAAATTATTGTAAAGAATCTTGGGATACATCACCCCAAAAGCTAGTTCAAAGAGTGGGAGTGTCCAAGGCCTTATAAAGACAACATTAGTTGCTCACACAATTAATGTGTCTTTACATGGTATCAGAGCTTCACTGTCCCCCACTTTAAAGTTGAATTAAAATAAAAAACACAAAAGGTAAACCAAAAATTGGGCCTGTGTAATTTTTACGCTTATAGCCTAAAGGCCCTTGCATGAGGGGCCGTGTTGAGATATATAGTCCCACATTGATTGTGTGGGCAACTAATGTGGCCTTTATAAGGCTTTGCACACTCCCACTCTTTGAGCTAGCTTTTGAGGTGGTGTATTCAAAAATCCTTACGTGGATAAGATTCTACAACTGCACTTAAAAAATAGTTAAGCTATTGGATTTGATCTGGTGGTAAGAAATTAAAATAATTTATATAAAATCATAAGTTTGAATCTTCACCCTTATCATTGTATAAAAAAAAACTACAATAATACAATGATAAGTGAGTGAATAATAACTATTTTTGACTTGGTGAGCCCACTAATATAAATATATAATGCAAGCATTCTTATCTTGTACACAAGATGTATGTGTAAAGAAATAGAATTCAGTGTGATATGATAATATTTATATAACTTAGAAATGGAATAACCTGAGCACCTTCGGACCTTGAAGGCCAATCCAATAGATTAAACTTGTGTAATTTATCCAAAAAAAAAAAAAAAATTAAGAAAAAATTGTTCTCTTAGTTTAAAGTCTAATTCAATGGATTGAACTTGTGTAACTTATCCACAACAATAAAAAAAATTAAGAAAAAATGGTTCTCTTAGTTTTAATAAATTAAAAGATTGTGATAAGGGAGTTAGAGAAAGGAATAGATAAACTTATAAGAACTCTTAGAATATCATAAAAATAAATAATTATACTCGCTATATATAAACACATACAAAAATTGTTTGATATAATATTGTTAAAATTATGCAATTAAAGGTCTAAATATGAATATACATAACTACATATACATAAAATTCTAATCATTCCGCTGAATGCATTCTTGGGGAGGGGGCTGAACCTTTAGCCATCACTATTTTTCCGCACTCCGGATTAGTCTCATAGCCGGCTCAAAGAGTCGAAGCTCGTGGGGATACCGGAGAGAGCCAACTCGTCTCAAAGAGATAATTAGGGTTGGGTAACTCAAAAAAAAAAAATTCTAATCATTCTCACACTATTTTATGTATAAATTCATATAATTTTTTATTACATTACTAAAATAAATGTTTATATATTTACATTTATTGCTTTCGTTGATTGGGAGTGGGCCCTGGGATATTCTGTCAGAAATATTGTGCATCAGTAGTTGTATTATAATCTTTATAAAGTAATTTTTTTTATGAATTATAAGTTTTTTCGTAAATTTTTTTTTAAAAAAAAAACTTACATTCACAAGTAACATTTAAAACTACCTACTAAAATTTTTGACAAAAAAATAAATCAATAATTGTTTTTAGTCTAACGATTAAGTCAACGTGTTTAGAGAAGAATTAAGCTTGTGTTGCCAGCTGTGCACGTAAAAAAGAAGAGGCCCAAGTACCCTTCAAATTGGGCTCCTGTCCCTTTGGCCAGAGCCCATTTCCATAATTTGTATTATTACTGCAATTTCTCTATTTTTTTTTTTTTTTAAATAATTTCTCTATTCTTTCGACGATAGAGTCAATGGTTTCTAATAAAAAATAAATATAACTACCTAGAGTTAATGGTTCCCAATTTTATTTTATTTTAATATTCCTAATTATAAAAATATATTAGTGAAACCATTTTTTTTTATCATTATAAGAGATTTTTGAATATGGAATAATGGGAGGAAAAATAAAGATAAAAATCAAGGACAAAACAAAGCCTAAGCTAAAAATTATTTCTCCACCTAGATGTACCATTGGAGAGTGAAATGTGTTGATATAAGAATGCTCTAGTAGTAATGGTAAACACCAAAGCACTATTGAAACTTCTCATTAGGGATGACAAAGTGGGTAACCCGTCCCACCCCGCCATCAACCTGCTAAAAAATGAGTCAGCCCGTCCCGCCCCGCTTTTGAAAGTGGGCTGAAAAACTCAGCCCGCGTGCCCCGTTTGGCGGGTTGGCCCGCCACCTCGAGCCTATTTTACACTGACCCGACTCGGTCCGTCTATGTCTGCCATCAACCTGCCAAAAAATGAGTCTGCCCTGCCCCGCCCCGCTTTTCAAACGGGTTGAAAAACTCAGCCCGCCCCGCCCCGTTTAGCGGGTGGGGCGGGTTGGCCCGCCAAGCCGAGCTCGTTTTGCCATCTCTACTTCTCATGGTGATGTATATCAAAGGGGGAGTGCGTGAGAATGCTAAAGTGACTTTATATTGTAGCAAAGTAACAACTCTTGAAGAGAATAGATCTCAAGATGAAAGATGCCCCCTCCAATGAGAGAAGGGGGATATATTAAGAGGGGATGCCTTTGTCAAACTTGGGAAAGAGAAAGGGCTCTCTCATATCTAGCTAAACCTAAGCTTTGTGATCAGACATGCTATCTCACTATCAGTGTACAACGAGTAGGTGTATGACAAAAAAAAAAAAGAATTATATGTGATGAGAGTGCCCTCTAAAAAATTTTAAATATTTGATATTGGGCCTAATAAATTGGGCTTTAAAGGTCCTGTCAAAACACCACCGATAATCCAAACATTCACCAAGACTAGATGATATATCTACAAATCTTAGAATACCAGTTTGATGTCGATCCTGTTTTTTAAGTAATGGGAACTAACATATAACTCATGGAAAGTGGAAGTTGCAGATATTCTATTGTACAACGAAAGTGAAACAGTGTAGGAAAAATGCCACTAACATGTTATTGATGAGAGGCTTTCATTCTATTATTTATCTTTAGAATAAATTATTTTTTAAAATTATTGTATCAAAGAAAAAAAAAATCTGTTTAATAAATTTTATTTTAAGAATAAATTTTGAAAAAAATTAAAGATATTTTGACAATTATTCATATGTGTATACCTAAACATAAGGTTGCGCTTGAATTTTCATGAAGTGAATTTGACAGTAATTATAGCAAGAAGCTGCTTCTCGTGCTTCAATGGAACAAAGGAGGGTAACTTCTGCAATACACCTACCTAAGAATCTAGAATTTCTTATTTAGTAAATAAATCCAATGCAAGATGAACCTGAGTTGGATTCTCCAAAACAACTTGGATCATAAATCCAAAATAACTACAATAAAAAAAACGGCGAAACTGGTGATAATGATAACAACAACGAAAGCAATAGTGATAACAATGTTAATTTAAAGTGAGAAAAGAATTTTATAAAGATTAGCTAAAAAAAAAAAAAAAGCTATAATATATTTGTTAATTTTCTATTCTAAAAATCGGTTATGGAAAACAAAAATTTAAAACAATTGAGCATAGCTACTAAAACAAGGTTGTTTATGATTTACTAAATTGTAATAGTTCAGTTAGTACATAAAATCTGAATAAGTAATAAATGATAGAAGAACCTCAATTCAATCCTTATCAATATCATTTTTAGAAGGAACATAAAATTTTAATTTCAGACTTACTCCACACTCGAAAATAATGGATACCAGGTTCACATCAGACAAATAATGGACGTTTAAATTTTATGAGTTTTATAATTCTCATATTGAATGAGAATTGAAATATTATGTTGTAGAGATATAAAGCATATGGAACCCATGCGTTAGAAAAAATTATATGTAGGACTCATGTCAGCACGGAAATCGAAAAATATATAGGAAAATTGTAATTTTCATGTTAAATGAGAATTATAAAACCTAAATTTTATATGGGTTTGTTTTTTCTGATATTACTTTATATAACTTTATCTAATGTTCATCAAAACGACATCGTTTTGGGACGGAAATCATGATATTTTTGTAATTTTAATTTATTTCAGAGTTATAATAGTTTTTATCACTCTAATTTTGTAATTTTTCAACTCCAAAACAACGTCGTTTCGATGAAATAAAGTTATCTAAAGTAACCTCAGAAATTTTTTTCCCATTTTATATATATAAATGTGAAAAGTCATACAGACACATAACGGAAATTTTGACATAAAAGGTCTGAAATTTTATTTCCAAAACCACACACACACACACAAAGTCACAAAGTATTAATGCCATTGTCTCACAAGTTCACAAACCCATCATCACAAGTTATTAATGGACAGTAACTTGCTTGACCTCCTTTTTGGGCTTGTCAGTCCTAGGAATGGTTACGGTTAGGACACCGTCCTTCAACTCTGCCTTAATTTCATCAACCTTGGCATCATCAGGCAAAACAAGACTAGTATCATAGTAACCATAGCTACTTGATGACCAATACTCATCATCATCCCCTTCTTCTTTCTCTTCCTTGTGCTCTCCCTTTATTGTCAACACCCCATCACCAATGGTGATCTTCACGTCCTCCTTGGCAATCCCTGGCATGTCATACCGCAGTTTGTAGTGGTCCTCCCTCTCTTTCACATGCCCACTGAGAGACCAAGGTGTCAAATTCATATTCTCAAACAGCCTGTTGATGTTCTCAGTTGCCTGCATCAGTGCATTCCCAAGGCCTGAAGGAAACAATTCTATAAACCAACCAAACAGAATATGTAAGTTTGTGTTGTGTTTCATGTCCTCTCTTAATAAGTTCACAATTTGGAGCATAACCAGGATTTTTATTATCAATTAATAACTTCTCATGCTGCTTTGATAGAAATAAAATAAAATAAATATTATATTTACAAACTCCCAAAAATAGACTTCATTAGGAATATATTTTTGAGAATATATATTGTAATTTGTAACAAAAAAAATTTGTAAATATAAATTATCTCGTAAAATAATATAGACTCTTTTATAAAATGTTTAATGAAACATTTTATAAAAGTTTTATCAGTAATAAACATGTCTACTAATTAAGATTATTTAATGCCTGATTCATTGTCTAAAAGTGGGTTTTCAAAATCATGTAAAGAACTTTGAGATACACCACCTTAAAAGTTAGGTCAAAGAGTGGGAGTGTTCAAGGCCTTATAAAGGCTACATTAGTTGCACATACATCCAATGTGAGATTATATATCTCAACACACCCTCTCACACGAGAGCTCACTGGGCTTGAAGGGTGGACAATGCACAGACCCACCTACATGTGCGAACAAAGAAATTCCACTTGAAAGAAAGTGGGGCGACAACAAGGATCGAACGGCTTTGATACCATGTAAAAAACCTTGGGATACACCACTCCAAAAGCTAGCTCAAAGGATAAGAGTATCCAAGACCTTATAAAGACTACATTAGTTGTTGCACATACAACTAATGTGAGACTATATATCTCAAGAGTTTAAAAGATTTGAAAGTTTGATTGCCTTTGGTTTTGGAATTCAAATTACACCTTATTTTCAATGTGTAGCTGTAAGTGAAGGTTGTGGGATTAGAAAACATGGGAAAAAAGAGGTAGAGAATACCATTAAGGGCAGGAGAGAAGTCACGGTCATTGTTTCTCCAAAGCCATCTTCTGCCTTTCCTTCTGGGGAACAACCTAGACTTTTTGCCTTCAGAGACAGCAACTTCAGTGCCTTCAGATTTCCCTTTGTCACTTGCTGCAGTAGTAAACCTTTTCAGCAACTCATTGCCCCACCTATGCTTCTGCACACAGTCATATCCTATCAATGAAGAGGAAGTAGACACCCTTTGCTGCAAATTTTTCAAAGCCAAACGTGCCAAAGCCATTTTTTTAAGCTTGATATTAAAGCACTCGTTTCTGCTTGTTTGTCTTTGCTGATAATTGAAGGAACTAAGACAATTTAAATAAAGATATGGGATTGGTGTTGGTTACATGGCTTTGGATGCTTAGAGAAGTTTCCAAGAGATTCTAGGATATGAGAAAGCGACACATCACAAAATGGATACATTTGGAATTTGAGAATAGTAATAGTAAAGGAGAGTTCTCGTTTCTTCTTAGACATGACATGACTCGATTCACAAGAGTGTTCCAGAGGGAAAAAACTATATACAGGTTCTTTTGGGCCCATTCTGGCCTTGAAAAAATCACTTCCGTTCCAGAATAATTATTTGAAGGAATAACATCTCCCATTAGAGAATATGCGTCAATCTAATACGTAGCTTTGATATTGACGAATAAAAATAGATAGAAAAAATAAATAAATGGTATTAAGTGAGAAAGTTTTACGTACGTAACCTTACCCAATTACCTGAATGTCAAATCGAAGTTAGATATAGCCCATTTCAATTTTTACTATAAATAAAATCAATGATATAAACCATTCATAATTCTTAACATTATTGAGATAAAATTTAAAGTTGAATGAAATATGAAACCAGGTTACAAATTAGATATGTGTGCTATGGACCACTTGTCCTACATAATAATTTCGGTCTAATTTAACGGAAAGGAAGAGCAAATGAAAGTTGCAGCCAGTGATGAAGCATGCCGTCAACAAAGGGGAATTTTGTTTTTCAAAACCTGCCTACCAGAGGCAACCTGGGCAAATCAATTAAATATAGTATAATACAATTATCTGAAGGTCAGCAGAGAGAAATTTTCCTCATTGTTGGCATGTGACAATTGATATACAAACTCTAGTACATGGCCAATAATCCTCTTCCTACAGAAGAAAGAACTAAAAATTATTTCATGGATCATCTAACCAAACGGCACTTCCTCAAGCTTCAACAACTTAGTCGTATAGGCCATCCTGTTCCCATATGTCCACAAGAAAATCTACCATTTCCTATAAGCATTGATACAAGCAAACCATTAGATCATCAATGTTTACTTAAAACTGCATCATGGTTTACATGTAGATGCTTACAGCAAGAGGGATAGGCTGACGGAATGGCTTGTTGCTTCCAAGTAAACTTTCGTATGTTGCATTCCAACTGCAAAGCCAGAAAATTTTGGCAAGGCACAGACAATAAGTTCTGACAAGATAGAACAAAAATAAATTCATAATTACTGACAAAAAAAAAAATATTCATCAGCCACGCACGGCAATCTTATTAACCAATTTGAGTAGTTTCGCAATACACCACACTAACATGAAAGAACTTAGCATGCCAGTACTGATGAAGGCAAATATTCAAAAATAAACTAAGCTCCTTATGACATGGCAATCGTAATCCATGTAGCAGCAACGATATAGTTACACACCATTGATTTCAATTTACAGGAGTCATTGACACACTTTTCTCCTTTTAAGGCAACAACTGATTTTCAAATGAATAAGCTATGAGTTTTAATATAGAATAAGATTATGCCCCCCAGTCTGTGGTTAAAATATAATAGTATAACCACAATGTCGACTTGTATAAGTTTGGTACAAAAATCAGACAAGTAGAAAGAAGTAATGATAACTTATAGAAAAATGGATTTGCAGGAATCCTAACACAAATGAAACTACAGAAATAAGAAGCTGCCAATAAAACTAATCCAACAGTGTAATTTACCTCAATTTAGGTTCTCGTAATTGTTGTGTTTGGTTCTCAATCTTTTTATTTCCAACCCAACGTTGCCTAGTCTGATTCCAAAGAATTAGACCTGCAACCAAATATAAGTTCATAAATGCCTTTGCAAATTAAAAAACCAATGATTGCACCACTAACTTATCTACCAAAATCTCGTTTCACAACCTAATATCTGTACATACTACGCAGATAGCCAACAAGATATAAATAAGACAATAAAATGCAAAACTGACTAGAAATTGCCATGAAACCTAGTCAATAATAAAAAGATTTGGTGGGGGAAAAGCATATCAATGGGAAAAGAGGTGACAATTAGTGATGTTTCACAAATGAGCACAAGGCCCAAAAGAAAAGTATACGAACAGCACAAGTCAAACCTAAAAATGATATTATTTGATAATTCAATACAAACTAAATCGAATCACCATGTCACTCAAACCCCATTTCATATATGAGCAGCAACATGCCTCAGATATATCTTGATATAGTACACCAAAAAAGGTCAGCCCCTATAAAGGAAATAAGGAAGTGTAAAGCAACTACTTTACAGAAACATCAGCTTAATGTTATCATCATTTAACCCCCCCATGAATAGATACACACACTGTGTTAGCTTTAGTCTTGTTGAAACAGGAGCTGATCAACCGTCCAATAGGCAATGGATGCTTTCAGCTCCCACTGTGCAAGGCCATTTCATTCTCTCTCTTTTTTATCTCAAAGTTTATTTTAAAAAAACCATATCAAACTATGAAATGCTTATTTAGCAAAATATCTGCACAATAAAAAACAAAGAAGAATACCGTGATTTACAAATTCAGTGTGGTTGCTGCTTTTGGAAGAACCACCATGAGGAACCACAGCTTGGTTTGTTAGACTTGTTGAAGAGATGCTCCCCTGTGACTGAACAGCACTATTGTCCATATCATGCGTGCTGGTGGTCCAGAAATCCTCTGATGTACTAGGTTTCCTCACTGCCTTACCTTGTTTTGCCAACCCTTTTGATGGCACATCCACAGTGGAAATTACTGTGGGCCTTTTATAGCATCCAACACAACCACTGCTCTGTTACAATCACGTTAATTTCTGTTATGCACCACATTATAATCATATAATATTCTCTAAAGCAGCCAACATAATTCAAACACTTCAATTTCACAGCTGCAAATTGATTTACACACACTGCAATCTAGTCACTTAGATTCAGAAAATTAAAAATCCTAAAATAATTGATTGACGAATTTATCCAAAAAGACATAAACAAAGCTACCCCATCCTCTATTCCCAAAACAAAAATGCTGGCATTGGAATCCACAATCCATCTTGAATCCTTTTAATCAATTTTGTAGACAACCATATGAATCAAGAGAAAAAAAGGAACAATTTTCCGGGTCATCATCCCACTCCCACCAAATGATTATAGAACAATACAAGGAAAAGCATTGATACCCATGAAGGTATAATAGTTAATTGAAAGAAAAAAGATAAAAAGGAGTTAACTTTCTTCAGTTATGGTTGGAATCAGAAAACATACCCCATATGCATGTAGTGCCTGAAACACCAAAAAGCCTGGTTAGATTAGATCTGCCACAAGGAATTTGTAGAGAAACGAAGAAGACGAAGCCCAGTCCCAGAGCAATCCTAACAATTCGAAAGGTACGGATTGGAAAGAAAGAAAGAAAGAAAAATCAAAAAGATGATAAAAAATAATAATTGTGAAAACAAGAGAGAGAAAATGCATAAAAAAGAGAGAGCAACCTTTGTGATTGAGAATTTGAGATATTGACGTTGTGAGGTTTGGACTGTCTTTGCGTATTCCTGAAACCGATAGCCCTTCCTTCTGATGTGCAAACACACAGATAGGATGGCTATTGGATTCTTCTTCTTCTTCTTCTTCTTCCTCTTCTCTTCTCTGCCAAATGAATAATCCAAACGGAATAAAATAAAGCAAGAGTGGATTATTTATTTTGGTACGGTGTCCAAAATCATAAATGGACATACTAACTATTAAAATAAATGGAAAATCATATTTTTACGTTGTAGAAAACATCGATTTTTGTATTTTTTGTATTTATATTTTTTATAAGTGAATAGGTCTCATACATGATTATCTCTATAGTATGAGAGAGCTTCTCTTCTATTGCATGATATTAATAAAATCTAAAATAAATCATAATGGACACAATAATCTAATTTTGGATTCGTGCCTTTCCATTCTCAGCATTTCAAACTCATTATCTTAGGTCAAATTGTAAAATATAGCTCCGTCATTACTAAAGTGAATTATTTCATGAAATGTTATTTTTATAGGAAAAAATATTTCTTTCAGTCATTATAGATAAAATTATCTTCAATAAACTCAAGATTATTTTGTTTTGAAATTATAAGATTAAAACTTATAATAATAAAGACTATTATACCTCCGCAATAAATTAAAATTACAAAAACACTCTAATTTCTGTCATAAAATAACGTCGTTTTGAGTTCACCGAAAATAATTTAGCTTTATTGACTAAGATAATCATTTACCCTATTTTCTTTTATAATCTTGTATGACTATTTTTGTGGTTCTAACTTTTATAAATTAGAATCGTTGATTGAATTTTGATCAAACAATCATAAAGTGATGGTAAGAAAAAATAAGTTGTAAATATAATTTTTCTCTAAATATTTATATATTTATCAATATATTTAATTTATTAGATACTATGCCAAATTTACTCTCATTTTAATTATTATTAGTTACTATTATAATAATTTTTGCAGTCATGATGTTAATTATGGTTTCATTTGCTTACGTAGATGCATTAGTTGGTGGTGCTTTGCTTTGTATATTGCTTTATGAGTTGTGCCAACAATTTAGTCCATATTTGTTACTTGTTAGCTGTTTGGTTTAATGCTTGGCTTTTCCAAATTCCATCTTTGTGAGCTTGCATTAGTCAAAGACGCTATTGACGAACATACTCCGTGGACTCTGGATTTCAAAGGGAGTTAATTCAACGTATTAATTATAGTAAATAAATTTCATGATCAATCTAAAATAATGTAATGGTAACAACGAATGGCCATTTAGCGTTATTTGAAAATTAAAAAAAGTCATTGATTTATAGGGAGACAAATAGCCTTACATGCAAGTTGTGAATACGAAAATTCAAGTGGATCAAAATCCAACTTGTCGTTTTTAATATAGTGCTTTTCTGCTTACCAAAAAAATAAAATATAGTGCCTTTCTTTGATGTAAATTCTTATTTATTACTTTTATAGTTAAAGTAACCACATTTTTCGTCCAGAAATAATAGAAAAATAAGTTTTTGTCAATGGTCTTTCTTGTACTTGTCAAAATGCAAGTCACTTTAAATGATATATATATATATATATATATATATATATATATATATATATATATATATATATATATATAGGGTTTAAATTTTCTTATGTTGTAGGATTGTAGAAGAGAAAAAAAGTAGAGAAAAATTAAATGTGGATCCCATATTTTATATTTAAAAAGAAAAGAATAGAAAAATGATTTACTCTCATGTAGCATGAGAGTATTATTTTCCGTATATATATATATATATATATATATATATATATATATATATATATAAATAGGATCCTTTGACACCGATGTCAAATTTTAAAATTTGACACTAAATCCTAATCTTTGATTTTCGTCAATCAACTGTTATCATTTATTGAGAATCAAACTTATTAATTAAAATTAATTCTCAATAAATGATAATTGTTGATTGACAGAAATCAACGAATATGATTTGATGTCAAATTTCAAAACTTAACACCAGTGTCAAAGGATCCTATTGCTATATATATATATGTGTGTGTGAGTTTGATGTTTGTCTTTTTAAATGACATAAGTTATGTCATTTTAGGAAAGAGATATATACAAAGAATGAAAATCATGAGAGAGAAAGTGGGTGGACTTTTTTTTAATTTAAATTTTAAATAAAAAATATTATTATGTGTCTGTTTCTCTCTTAAAATGACATAACTTTATGTCATTTAAAATGACAAATACTTTTTCCTATATATATATATATATATATATATATATATATGAGGTAAGATTATTTGACACCTCATATGAGAGTCGTTAGATAAAAAAAGATCAATGGTGTCACATGCTTACAAATCAGAGTCGTTGATATTTTTTGATATAAAGGCTCTCAGATGAGGTGTCAAATTTAAAATTTAACTCTAGTATCAAATAATTCTACCCGTATATAACAGAATTGTTGGTTTAGATGCAATTTAGTTCAATATCAAGTTATGACCTGTTTAAATCACAATACATACGACTTTTAAGAGTCGAAAGGGAGAAAACACCGAAACCCAAAACCATTTGGGTAGAGTTAGGAAAAAATATGTGTCATTTTAAAGGATATAAAATTGAATTATTTTAACTGGAAAAAAAAAAAAGATAGAGTATAAGCGAGAAAGTGGATACAAAAAAATAAAAATATGTCTCGTTTATTTGTGAGAATAAAATGACATACTTGTGTAATTTAAAAGGACAAATATTTTTCACTATGGATTAATATAAAAAAACAAATAAATTTTAGTTTCTTTTTTTTTAGTTACCAAATGGAATTATGGAGCAGAGTTAACGTTTTCTGCTTTTTATTACAGATCAATCATCGTAGTCCATTTCATGATCTCTCTCCTTTTCAGTAAGTTATTTACGACTATGAACGGGATAGACATTATTACTTCTGGATAAATTAGAAAATAATATTTAGATTGTAATAGCATCTTAGTATTGCAAGTACAGTCTCACCGGTCAAAACACCGGATTTGAGAATTGCATTCTATCATTCTATGTAATTGCATTCTATCATTCTTCCCATTAAAAGAAAAAAGAAAAAGAGAGAAACTACTAACTTCAATCAGGATTTATATTAAAATTATAGATCATCCAAGTTATTGATACTAAGAATGTGTGCTAAGGAAATTAAAAAGCTCTAGCTTTTTATTATAAACGTTAACCATATCTGAGATAGGTTATTCTACTTACTTTTATTTTGTCTATTTTTGCCTACCTTATTAATACTGTTTGATTATAATCTCATCCAACAGTTGATATTTGTAATATAATATTAGAAGGTAAAAGAGAGAAAAGGAAAAATATTAATTTCATTGATTGTGGTGAATTAATTTGTACAATGAGTGAGCTCTTATATAGAAGAGCATAACAGAAAAGAGAGATCTAGAATATCATTAAAATACTAAACTACCCTTATACCTAATATCTAATACTCCCCCTCAAGATGAAGAGTGAACAAAGAGAACTTCCATCTTGAACAAGAAAAATAAAGAAAACATAATAACCAAATAAAAAATCCCCAATGAGAAACCAAAATCTTCAGTGTGTTGAAATGAGCTTCAGCGAAATCAATGGTGCTGGTATGGACATCAGCTAAGGAAGAGAGGGCTGGGATGGACATCAGCCACAAAATACCAATCGGTGCCGGGATGGACATCGGCAAAATCAAATGTTCTGAAATGAACATCAACAAACTCGAATAACACCACAAACATATGCGGGAATAAAAACTAAATGGCCAAATACAAGCCAGAAAATTAAAACAAAAATAACTGCAACACAACATAGCAGCTCCAAACAGCATCTGAAACCAGGAACAAGTCTGGGAGATGAGTAGACCGGAATGAACATCGGTCATGAGCAAACGTCGGCCGAAAAATAAGACACAACCGGAGAAGATAGTCACGGCTGGAGATGACCGGAACAAGACTCTATGAGCAGTGAAAACATCAATAAGATCGGGAGCAGATCTTAAGAAGACAAACCGACCGGGAACAGGTCCGATTAGAGCAAAAAGCAGATCAGAAAAAAAAATTAGAAAATAAACACCACCGATGAGCGGCTGGAGAAGAAGACATGGTCGGAGGTGATAAAAAGACACAGATCTGAAATGTGAACGATCGGGAACAACGGTCGGAGAGATGGATGATGTGACCAGAGAATAAGACGTGGTCGGAGAGGATGACCAGAAAAGAGGAAGACGCAGCCAGAAAATTCCCAGATCTGAAACTAAAAAAAAAAAAAATGCAGCCAAAAATAATGACCGGACCAAGCCGCCATGAATGGCGGAAACATCAACCAGAAGAAAAAGATGTCAGATCAAAGAGATACGAATAAGAAATCAAACTGGGAGCAGATCTTGCGAAAAAGAAGAAAAACTAGATCATGACCAGATCTGGACAATACAAAGAAATAAATGGCCAAAAGGACACTAAAACGCGCCGCCATAGGCGAGAAAGAAGACAAACAGACCATGAACAAGTCTGATTAGAGTAAGAGATACCAAACAGAACCAAAAAATAGATCGGAAAACATGTTGATCAGATTTGACTAAAAAATAATAATAGAAGAAATGCAAGAACATAACAGATCGGCAATGGAAGACAACCAAAAAGAACCTTGGCCAGAATCACTAATGGAGAATACAACCGGAGAAGGAGGAGATGCGATTGACAATGGTAAAAGCATCACAAGAGAAAAAGACACCATCAGAGCAAAAAAAAAAATAGATCCGGAAAAGAAAAAGTAAGAGAAAGAAAAGTGTTATGACGTAGCTTTGATGATAAAAAAAATTCACAGATCGGGATTAGATGCGGAAGAAAGGAAACAAGAAGAAAAAAAAAAAATGATTGCAGCGGAATCTCCATTCATGGAGGATAAAAATACTCTGATACCATATTAGAAGGTAAAAGAGAGAAAAGGAAAAATATTAATTTCATTGATTGTGGTGAATTAATTTGTACAATAAGTGAGCTCTTATATAGAAGAGCATAACAGAAAAGAGAGATATAGAATATCATTAAAATACTAAACTACCCTTATACCTAATATCTAATATATAAAATAAATATTTTCTTCTTCTTCTTTCTCCTCACTATTTCTCTCTC